ATTGTGTCTGTGTGTTTCTTTCCCTCCTGAACCTCCTGCCCCGCCAGACACAGGGGAGGCCTCCTTGGGGTCCTGGGGCATCGGCTTCCCAGGCAGTGCACCTGTGCACACACCCTGGCCGCGTGCTCCCCCCCCTCCCCCCTCCCCACGGCGGTCCCCAAGACGGCACGAATGGGGACCCCCAAGAAGACCCGAAGAGGCAAGACTCGCCCCGTACCCGAAGAGCTGAGCAAGAGAGAGAGAGAGAGAGAGAGAGAGCCAAAGCCAGCGCAAAAGGAGAGCAAGTTGGAGAGGCCGGCGCTGCAGCAGCCCCAGCGGAGACATAAACACTTCTAGCCGCAGCCCGGGCCCTGCTTCCGCTCCTCGCCCGCGGCGGCCTGCGCGGGCCCGCCCGGCTCCGCCCTCGGCCGGCTCTGCTGCTGGCCCCCCTCCCCGAGGACGTCGAGCACGTGCTGGCTCACGCTGCCATCGCCGGCCGGTGCCCGCGCGGCAGCCGTGCCGCCCTCGCAGGCCACGTCCAGCGCCGCGAGCAGCCGCCTGCAGAGCACCCTCTGGGCCTTCCTCGGCCGCGCCCTGCGCTCGGCCGCGTGCGGCAGGTGGCAGAAGCCACACGTGCGGCCATTCGCGCAGCCCGCCCTCGTGCTCCGGTAGAGGCACGGCCTGCAGGTCCCGGCGGCGTGCTGAGCCTCGTTGCCCTTCAGCCACTCCGCATCCTGCTGCTCGACGACCTCGCTCTCTTCTGCCCGGCGGTGGCTCTCGGAGTAGGAGCTGCCTGATGTGCAGCTCTCGTACTCGCTGCCGTCGCTGAACCCCCACCTGCTATCGCTCAGATCCGAGTAGGAGCAGTGGCTGCTGGATGCGGAGGGAGCGTACTCTGAGAGCGATTCGTGACTGGTGGCGCTCCCAGTGGCGCTCCAAGCCTGATCGTCGTCCTCGCGCGCAGGTCTCCCCTCTGCACTGTCGCGCGCATTCTGAAGCGCGTCCGCCAGCGTGAGGCATCCTCCAGCGGCGCTCCTGGCATCACCGTCGCCCTTGCTGCGGCAAGGGCCGGATTCGACGCCCACTAGCTCCAACAGATAACCATTGACGGCCAGCCTTGCTCCGTCTGTCTGGCAGGTGCCCCGCGTGCTGTTGCCACGGCCTCCGAGCATGAGTTTGTCCGTCCAGGGCAGCTACAAAAGACAGGGATGACGAGGCTCGGCCAGCGCCTCTACCTCCCTCTCGGAAGAGGGCCCACTGAGACCACTGCGGCACTTTCGCGTGGCCCAGATCGGGTCAGAATCCGTCGCCTGGACCCCTCCTGGGGCCCACCATGACTTGAGTAGGGCTGGGCGGTCAGGCCTGCAGAACACCCCAAACGGACGTCAAGGGGCGCAACCAACCTGTTCGGTCAAGCTGAGATTGATGCACCACACCGGAGTCGAGCCAAAACTTTGGACATAAGCGAATGGTAGGATTTTGCACGTCTTCGTCGGCTTAACCGGCGAGGCGGTTGACCACCTTGACGTCTCTTTCGGGTGGTCCTGCAGAGGCAGGCGCTCTCTGACCCTCGGCCCTGCTCCAAAGGACCATGACCCGCTCCTCGAGGCGCATCGGAACCGTGGCGACGGAGCGCACCGAAGAGGCCGCCGCTGCCTCGACCAGCCCTCCCCCGGCCCTCCTCCGCCCTGCCCCCCCGCCCCCCACCCCGACCCCCAACGGGGGGACGACTCCCACCACGCCTGGGCTGGACCTAAGCTGTGCTCCTCGTTCTCGTTTTTCGGGGGCGCGCAAACATGGATTCGCGATCCATGGATTTGGCGCGCGGTCGCCAAATCCATGGATCGGGGGAGGTGCCCTCCCCAAAATGCGGCTGGTGCCGCCTCGTCCGGCGGCGGAAATCCGCGATGTCCCAAGGAAACGGAACCCGTCGCTAATCCACGCCCCCTTGACCCATGCTTGCGCTCGCCTGACACCCCCCGCTGACCCCCAACGGGGGTCGACTCCCACCACGCCTGGGCTCGACCTGAGCAGTGCTTCTCGCTCTCGCTTTGCCTCCGCCTTCCCCCGCTCTGTCTTCGTCCAGCCCTGGCTGCAGAGCGAGGCCGAAGCGAAAGCGGTCCGCGAGGTCACAAAGACACCGCTCGGGCCGAGCCCCGCCCACCGCGCATCACTGTGGTTTGTGCTGCCCCGGGAGGTCGTGTCGCAGAGCCCGCGCACTCGGCGGCGGAGGAGCGGCCAGGCTACCTCGGGCCAGGCTGCTGCGCGGCGCGCGCTGCTGCTGGAGATCCGCCGCTGGATCGGGCGCCCCAGCTTCCTCCTCCGTCTCTCCTCGATCCCCCGCCCTCCGCCTTCCGCCCCTGAGGAACTGCCGCAGTCGGACCTGGGCCAGAAGAGCATCCTCCAAGAGCACGAGACCCTCCGCCCGCCAGAGCACACTTTGAGCATCCGAGGGCACCCTCCCCCAGGATGCACAAGAACATCCACCGTGCACGAAGATCATCAGGGCACCCGCCCCGAACCGACCTCGACCTCATACCTCGGTCCGGCTGCACCACGGATCGGGGCAGGCACCCCCGAAACGTGGGGCCAGTGCTGCCCCGCCCGGCGACGGGGCGCGCCAACTCTGCACAGAAGCGGTGCTTCCGTCCCTGATCCGCGCGCCCTGGTGCGTGCTCGTGCCTCCTCGAGGCCCCCTCTCGACATCTTCCCGCGCCAGCCTTCGCTCCCGCCCACCCCTCGCGCCTCCCTCAGATCCCTCGTAGCGTCAACCCGTACAAGAAGGATGCGCGGTGAGGGTGCAGGGGCCTGGGAGGGTCACGTGAACATTTTTTGACCGAGGTTGGTCAGCGCGAAAGTCGCTGAGGATGGGCCGCAGTGGCAAAGATGCAAGGGTAGCCTTGGAAAGTTGCTCATCTTTTCTACACGGGCTGACTGTATCTCTCGTCGTCCTCTTCGCCCTGGGGACGAGTGCGACGACGAGCGGGAGGCAAGAGGGGCGGAGGACAAGGCTGATGGGAAGATGAAGCCAGAGAGCCCTCCGTCTGTGATTGCGCGGGTTATCACTGCCTGGCAGTGGAGCTGGAAGCGTCCACGGTGACAACCCAAATGCACCGAAACCGATAGGACCGAGAGACGCACGGACGCAGCGATACAGCAGCCGACCGATCCGAATGGACCGACTGCGACCGACTGGCCCGAAGAGGCCCAAATCATTAACATCCTGTGGATTTTTGACAGATTTTGGCATTTGCTTCTTTTCGGCCTTCCGACGCTCGAGACGGCCTAAGAGCCCAGAAAGATCGCCCAAGAGGCCTCCAAGATGCCTCCAAGAGGCTCCCAGGAAGCTTCTAGGAGGCCCCAATATTGCCCCCCCAGAGGCTCCCAAGATGCCCCCTCCCCCTCCTCCTCCTCTCCTCCTCCTCCTCCTCCTCCTCCTCCTCCTCCTCCTCCTCCTCATCATCATCATCATCCTCACTCCTCTCCTCCTCCTCCTCCTCTCCTCCTCCTCCTCCTCCTTCTCCTCCTCCTCCTTCTTCTTCTCCTCCTGCTCCTCCTCCTCCTCCTGATCTTCCCCGCTATCCTCCCACAAGTGTTTCCCGAAGGGTTTCCGCAACGGTTGGGGGAACACATGGTCCGATAGCTTGGCAGAGCTCTTGCCACAACGCTCGGACACATGGGCGCTTTCAAACCTCTTGCTCCACCACGCGCTCCCCGAAGGCTCTCCAAACCGACTCGGGGAACAACTGGCCCGATAGCTTGGCTTGGCCAAGCTCTAGCCCAGCTGTCGGCCACACAGGCGCTTCCACAAGGGCAGGGGGCGGCGGTGATTCGCCGTAGGCGTCTTCGATAACGCCAACGACTCAAGATGCGCTGATGATTCCCATCCGCCCCCGCATGATGTTCCCAGATGCGCCAAGGCAGCGCCGAGACGCACCGACGCGACTCTGATATACCCCATTCTGAAGGAGAGGGGGTTGGCGGCAGGGGGCGAAGCCCGTACGGATTATTCCATTTCGAATGCTCTCAAATCCCCCCTGTTACTCCCCCTCCGCGGGCCTTGCCTCCTGCTGCCACCCCCCTCCCTCCCGACCGGACTTTTCGGGACGGGGCCGTGGCGACCCAGGCGGCTCAGCTTGCCCCCATCGGGGACCCAGGATGGCCCTGGGACGGCCCAATATGCCCCCCAGACGCACCAAAAACACCCCGAGAGGAACCCCAATAAGCTTCTCGGAGCAACAATCAATGAGCAGAAACGCGTGTTAGTTTACAATCGGCTTCACGTTTTCGGCTTCTCGAACGCCATCGCGCCCATGCAGGTCCGGGAGAGCCGCAATATTTTCTCAAGAACGGCCCCTCTGAAAGAAGAACAAGCCCATGGGCAAGATGAGTCGTCGACGAGCCCAGGGGGGAATTGAGAGGGGGCGGGCCTTCTCTGAAGGCTCGGAAGTCTATTGGCCTTCTAAGAAGTGTTCGAAGCCTTCCCCGAAGACACAGGAAACTTATCAGAAGGCACGACGGCTTCTGAGAAGTCCCGCCGCCTTCTGAAACGGCCGTCTCGTTCTCATTTCCCTCCTCGCTCGCAACCGAGCAACATGAAAGCAATGCCAGAGGCCTGGGATGTGCCCGTCTGCCTTCTAAGGTCAAGGAAGAGGAGGAGGAGGAGGAGGACGAGGGAGAACTAGGAGGCGGAGGAGGAGTAATTAGGAGGATGAGGGGGAGGAGGAGGAGGAGGAGGAGGAGGAGGAGGAGGAGGAGGAGGAGGGGGAGGAGGAGGAGGAGGTGGAGGAGGAGTAGGAGGAGGAGGAGGTGGAGGAGGAGTAGGTGGAGGTGGTGGAGAAGGAGGAGGAGGAGGAGGATGGGGAAAAAGAACTCTAGGGTTCGTTGAGTTGCCGGCAGAGCGTCGGGGGCTCGTACGTCCATTTCAGGGTCGCCTTTGTCTGCTCACTCCCCCCCTCGCTCGCCGCCGAGAGAGGGGCAGTGGAGGGCGAGGGGGGGCAGGAGCGGGAGGGGCGGCGAACCTTGACGGCATGCTCCTCCGGCCACTCGGCTCCAGGTGGCACCGCGTCCAGCTCCAGCCGGGCTCTCACGTCGGCCCGCAGCAGGGGGATGCACCTCTCGGCTCCTCTGCGCGCAGGCGATGGTCGGCAACACGCAGGAGTGACCCTGGGTCAGTGTGACCCTTGGTGCGCAGCTTTTTTGGGGGGCCGCGGGGGTGGGGCCAAACACAAAAGGCGAAGGCCGCTGCGGACCCCAGTGGGCCCGCACCAAAGGTCACTCCACCGAAGGGTAAGTCTTACGTGTAGTTGAGATGGGGGAAGGACAGGAGAGGACAGGACTAGCCTCGCACTGGTGGGCAAACGCTCGCAAGCGCATTCAGGGTCACCTTCATGAAATCGAATCGCAAACAAATAGCACATGCAAACGCTCACTGCTGCTGGCACTCCCGTTTGCCGTCGCATGCGACCGTGGCGTCTGGGACGGGAGGAGTGACAGCCGATCCCGACGCGCTGCTTGCGTCACTGGCCGACCAGCCGATGTTCGGCCCAGTCTGCACCCCTGCGCGGCTGCCGAGGATGAGACAGCGCAGCCTCACAGAAAGCTGGGGTCGTGAAGGAGTCGTGCACGCTCTTCGATGGACTCTCCCAGCGCAGGACATCACCGCACTGCCTCGCCCCAGCTCCAGCCTCCTGCTCAGCTTCAGCCTGCCTGGAGGAGCCCTCAGCATGCGAAGGAAGAGCTGCCCTCCAGACTCCTCCCCACCTTCAGCCTTCTGGGAGGGTGCCTCAGACGGCAGGGCGGCTTGCTGGATGCACCCACCCTCAGTGCCGACCACCATGGGGTGGGTGGAACCCCACGGTGGGAAACCGACAGGTCTCCCTGGCGGCGCAGTCGCAGCGCCCCGCCATGGCGGCGCCCTCGGAGCGCCCCGCCAGCGGCCTCGACGTCCGCCTTGGGAAGCACTCCTCCGCCGCAAGCAGCTCGGGCTCGGCGGCGCTCCGCGTGCAGCTCGAGAGGCAGGGCGCGCCACATGTCATGACCTGCTCGATCTGCTGCGCCGCGCACGGCGCCACGTCCTATCCTCCCGCAGCAGGGAGAGACGCGGGGTCACGCGGCTCGAAGGCGGCGGCATCGGCGCGCAGGGCCGACTCCACGATCGGCGCCCGCGAGCCCCCCGGAACCTGGGCCCTTGATGTGGCAGCCGCGCCCCATTCAAGTCGAGGATCTCTCGGCGTCCTGCGTAAGGGTTGCGCGCGTTTCAGCTCTGGCTCCCCTCCTCCTCCTGCTCCTCGCCCGCCCTGGGGCCTTCCCCCAGACTGGCCTTTCATTCCGACTTGCTTTTTGACGGCCCAGGGCCCAGGCCAGAGGCCGCCGAGGCAGGAGCCAGGACCCCTCCCCTCGAGGCCCCCCCCCTCGCACTTGTCCGGAAGGGGAGCGCAAAGGGGGGGGACCGGCGCAGGGTGGAAACGTCGACCTGGTCTCGCCGATGCGTCGCCGATGGTTCGGCGACGAGGCCCCGACTGCGAGAAGTCTCGTTCCTGGGCGGGGGTAGCCTCGTGGCCCCCCTGCCGACGAGGCGTGGGCGACTGGGGGTCGGTGCGTGCTCCCCTCTGGGCCAGCCTCCCCCCCAATCGCTGCCCCTGATCCCAACGTCAATCCTGTCCGGCGCTCCCCTCTCGGATCGACTTCTGACGGCCCCCGTGGGCCCGTGAACGGCCAGGGGGCCGCCTGGCGCCGCTCCGAGACCTCCGATGTGCGTGCGCCGTGCTCTGCTCCTCGGGCCTCCGCAGAGGCAACTCCTGGGAGGTCGTCATGAGAACCATCGAGGGCTGCCTTGCCCCACCCAGGAGACAACAATGAAGCCGGAGGGGCCGGAGGGAGCCCAGGATTGAGCCTGGCCCCCGCTCCGAAGCACGTGACTTGTTTCTATACTTGTCGGCGCCGCGGCGCCACCGCCAAGCCCCACTTAGGGCCGTCCCGCGGGACGGACAGGCGCAGTGTCCGGTGTGCAGTTCCCCCCCCAGAGTTGCCCTCGAGTCCCCCGAGTGCCGACTCGCCCACTGTGCCGCCGCAGCTCTGGCTTGGTGCCTGCCGACCTCCCTGCCGTCGCCGACCTCATCCGAGGGCTGCTCACGCTCTCCGTCTTTCTCTAATTCTCCTCTCCTCCTCCTCCTCCTCCTCCTCCTCCTCTCCTCCTCCTCCTCCTCCTCTCCTCCTCCTCCTCCTCCTCCTCCTCCTCCTCCTCTTCCCCTCCTCTCCTTCCTCATCTCTCTCTCTGCTCCTGCTCCGTCTTCTCGCTCTGCTCCTGCTCCTGCTCCTGCTGCTCCTGCTGCTGGCTGCTGTGCTGCTGCTGCTGCTGCTCCTCCTTTCCCTCCTCCTCCTCCTCCTCCTCTACTCCTCCTCTCAACTCCTCCTCACTCCTCCTCTCCTCTCCTCTCCTCTCCTCTCCTCTCCTCTCCTCTCCTCTCCTCTCCTCTCCTCTTCTCTCTCTCCTCCTCCTCCTCCTCCTCTCCTCCTCCTCCTCTCCTCCTAGCCTCAGCATCAAGCATCAGCATCACATCAGCATCAGCATCAGCCAGCGCTCATCAGCATCAGCATCAGCCATCAGCATCAGTCAAGCATCTCATATCTCAGCATCAGCGCAGCATCATCATCATCATCATCATCATCATCATCATCATCACCATCATCATCCATCATCATCATCATCATCATCATCATCATCATCATCATCATCATCATCATCATCATCATCATCATCATCATCATCATCATCATCATCATCATCATCATCATCATCATCATCATCATCATCATCATCATCATCATCATCATCTCCTCTTTCCTCCTCCTCCTTCTCCTCCTCCTCCTCCTCCTCCTCCTCCTCCACCTCCTCTTCCCTTCTCCTCGTTCTGCCTGTCTGTCTGTCTGTCTGTGCGTCTGTCCCTGTCTCTGTCTCTGTCTCTTTGTCTGGCTGTCTGTTTGTCTGTCTGTCTGTTTGTCTGTCTGTCTGTCTGTGTGTCTGTCTCTCTCTCTCTCTCTTACTCTCTCTCGCCCTGGCAAAAGTATGTAAACATCTGCATCAATAGATGCTTGCCAGCGTGCATCCCGAACAACACTTTCTTGCGCTGTGAATGTGCAAGCAGTGTGGTGCAAGCTCCGTGGTGTAAACTGCGTGGTGCAAGCTGTGGTGCAAGCTGTGTGGTGCAAGCTATGCTGTGCAGGCTACGCGGGGCACGCGCTCTCTCCCTAACAAACAAGATGGAGGCGACCACATCCACGCATACTCCTGGAGTTCCGCGCGGATTTCCTGGATCGGCGCTGGGCCCCCGGAGCCGATCCGAGAAATCCGCGCTGCACTCCAGGAGCCCATGCCTGTGCCGTAGCTCCGGAGGTCTGGACCCCTCCCGGGGGCCGCTTTCTCGGCCCCAGCCATTGATTTCCAGGAATGGAAAAAACGCCTCTGCCCTGGGTTGCAAGTGCGTGGCCAGCAAGCCTCCTGGGAGCTCCCACAGGCCAGAGAGCCGCCAGGACGACGCGCGGCACGCGCGACACGCAGATGTACCCTGTTTGCCCTGTCAGCGCCTCGTAGACCAGGGTGGGGGTGTCTTTTACGCCCTTGACCTTTGGTGGTGTCGGGGCCAGCCGAGGGCCCCCGGAGGCCGAGCGGAGGTGCACGGCCTCCCGTCGTGATGTCCTGCCGCGCGAGGCGGACCTGGGCCACCTCTCCTCTGGCGCGCGCCGCCCCTCCTCGCAGGAGCAGCATCTTAGGGGAAGCTGCGCGTCGCATCGGGCCGCCCGGGCACCGAGCCGACGTCGAAAGGGCAGAGGCAGGACCAGCCAGCATCGACGGGGGACATGCGCGTCGCATCGGGCCGCCTGGGCACGGAGTCGAGATCGAAACGGATCGGCTGCACCGGGCTGCACAGCAGTCGTGGGTTACCACAGGTGCCCCTGGCCCAAGGTGCCCCCAACTTTTCGCTCAACTTTGGAGGAGGAGGAGGAGGAGGAGGAGGAGGAGGAGGAGGAGGGAGGAGGAGGGGAGGAGGAGGAGGAGAGGAGGAGGAGGAGGAGGAGGAAGGAGGAGGAGGAGGAGGAGGAGAGGGGAGGAGGAGGAGGAGGAGGGGATGAGGAGGAGGAGGAGGAAGAGGGAGGAGGGAGTAGGAGGAGGAGAGGAGAGGAGGAGGAGGAGGAGGAGGAGGAGGAGGAGGAGGAGGAGGAGGAGGAGGAGCCCCTGGGGCCCGCTGGGCCTCGTGGCGGGGTGCTCTGGAGGCCGTGGGGGCCTCCTCGGAAACCCTTGGGGGCACCCTGGGCTGGGGACACTTCTGGCAAACACTCGGGGAGACGTAAGACCCGGGTACGGGGGACTCGGAAATCCCCGACGAGGTCGTCAAAAAAATGACGAGGCCGAGCCTGCACTTTGACGAGGCCTCCCGCTGCAGACATCCCACGAAACTCCTCCTCGTCAAAATCCGAGGCGCGGTCGTCAAAAAACGATGGCGAACCCGAGTCCCGGCAAACCCGGGTCTTACGTTCCCCCGAAACACCCGAGACAGCGCCCTGCGAGCATCGGGCCGCATCGGATCGCCGGAGCATCGGAACAGGAGCGGACCGAGCCAGCCAGAACCGACATCGAATCGGATCGATGGGGGGGGGGGCGCCCGGCGCGGCGGCGTGTCGGAGGCGAAGCGGGGACGAGGACCAACTCGGGTGAGGATGCGCTGCATCGAGGGTCCCTGAAGTTCCGCGACTCTGGAGAATGTCTCGGGCGCCGCGGCCTTCTCGGGGAACGGAGTTATCCTCGTCCCAGCCCCGTCCGGCCCCAGGGCGTCCTCGCGGAGGGTCAAGGCGGTCCAGCTGGACCAGGTGGCGGACCCCGCACCAGTGCGTGAGCGCCGCGGCGGGGGGCCTGCTCGGCGGGCGGCCGTGCGCGCGGCGAGGGGGCGGCAGGCGGGAGCGGGGGGGGGGGGCGCGGGAGCCAGGAGTTTCGGGTGGCAACTCTGGGGAGCCTTTCGTGTTGGACGTGGGGTGGAGTCAAGCAAGCGCGGAGCCCCAGGCAGCAACGGGACCGAGCCGGGGCCCGAGAAACGTCGAACGAGCAGGGGCCAGAGGGGAGGCACAGCGGCGCGGAGGGACAGCGACCGAGCGAAGAAACGAGGCCGAAGCCCGAAGGTACCACCAAGCAAGACACACATTCCTCCTCCTCCTCCTCCTCCTCCTCCTCCTCCTCCTCCTCCTCCTCCTCCTCCTCCTCCTCACGGTCTCTCACTTTGAGAGGCTACTCCTGGGAGCCTCCCGTGCCATCCTGCTGCCTCTTGCGAGTCGACGCTGCCCGACGTCAGGGCGGCAACTTCTCGTCGACTGCCAGACGCCAGCGTACGCGAACAGCTGGACAGTGCTCCCCTGCTCTGCCACCGAACGCAGTGGCCCTGGTCCGGGGCGTCCCCAGCTTGGCGCGCCCTCCCGGAGCTCCTCCCTGGGCCCTCTGCGGCCTCGTGCGGGCTGCCCTCGAGGCCCTCCGTGGGCCTCTCAGTGGGATCCCAGGGGAGACCCTGGGCCAGGGACACCTGCGGCACGTGGCTGCCCCGAGGCGCCACCACACGCAGCGATTGCGGGTCGATGCGCATCCCCCCCATGAGCCTGTCCCGTTTAACGTTGCCTTCCGGATTTCGGGTCCCGGCTCGGCGCGCACGCTGGAGCGCTCCAGGCGAGGCGCAGCTGCTGCAACGCACCCCGAGGCTGGAAAGCAGCCGAGGACCGACGAATGTGTATCAGAACCTGACGGCGGGGTGGGCTAGAGGGCTCTTGCTTCAGATTGGACAGATACGGCGTTGTTTACTTCCGAGTCTCTCGCTTGTTTGTCTGCTCGTTTGTCTACGGTCGAAGTGTGTGTTCGTGATCTATATTGCCGTGCTCGCCCTTCGTACGGAGGTGAGTCTCGCATGCATGAGCGAGACCAGCTGTATGGGCATGGTGTCAAAGTTTCTCAATCGCACACGCAGACGGGACACGCAAGTTTGGCGCGACACGTTCGCCCAACCTCGGCGGCGAGCAAAGGGGGGGCGGTGGGAAAGGGCGGGCCGTCTCAGAAGGCTCGGAAGCCCCCGGCCTCCTGAGAAGCTGTCTAAGCCTTCCCCGTAGACACAAACACTTCTCAAGAAGGCGCGAGGGCTTCTGAGAAGCCCTGCCGCCTTCTGAGAAGGCCTTCTCCTTCCCACTGCCCCGCTTGCTCGCCGCCGCAAAACGTGCACCGACACGTGCCGAGCCAGCATCCGGCGCGTCAGCGCGGACAGTCCTGAGCACGGCCCGTGCTGCGTCCCGGCACGGGCGCACCAGGGCAGCCGAGCCCTTCGGCAGCGCCCGACGCCGCATCGAGTCGCGACGGCGGACCGGGTGGGGAACGGACCGGACAGCTCTCTTGCACCCTGGGAGGAGGAGGAGGAGGAGGAGGAGGAGGAGGAGGAGGAGGAGGAGAAGGAGGAGGAGGAGAGGAGGAGGAGGGAGGAGGAGGAGGAGGAGGAGGAGGAGGAGGAGCCCCCCGGAGCCTCGGCCCCTGGGGGCCGCCCTACGGGGGCCATCAAGCATGCGGGGCGGGGGGCCGAGACCTCTGCGGGGCCCGCGCGCGGAGCAGAGGTCGGCGTCGGCGGCACCGCCACGAGAGGCCTTCCCGCTCGTGCGCCCCAAATTGCAGTTCGCGACGCTTCACGGCGGGCTCCTGCCGTGCCGGTCTGTGTGCGCGTGGATCCTTCAGCCTGGAACCATCGCGGCTCCTCTCCACTAGGGCTCCCAACTTCGCGCTTCGCGCTGCGCGAAGCGCGAAGCGCGAATAACTTCGCGCTCTCGCGCCGCCCTCCCAAAGGGAGAATAGGAGGACGAGGAGGAGGGGGAGAAGGAACGAGGACCGCGAAGCGCGAATAACTTCGCGCCCTCGTGGGAGCCCTTGTCTCCAGCGCCGATCGCTCGACATCTGCCGATGTCGGGCCACGGTCGGCGCGCAACCTGGAAAACGCCCGCGCTGGAGTCGCCACCGCGTCGACGCGACACCACCCCACCGCACCTGCGGCCCCTCCTCTCTCCCTGAGCATGCACATGCCACTCGACCTGCTGCTCACTTCGAGCTGGGCTGCAGCGACCGCGAGGTGGGCGACCTCGCGCGGGGCCGTCGGGCGCTGCTCCTCAGCAGAGCTCGGAGTGCAGTGCAGAAGGTCGAACCGTGGGGCCCATGCATGTGGAGGTCGAGGCGGAGAGGAATCCCAGCTCGTCCGTGAGGTCGGCCACACGCGGGGCTGGAGTGGGCGCCGGGGCGCCGCCCACTCAGTCTCTGGAAATGTTTACAGTCGGACCTAGGCCAGAAGACCACCCCTCAAGAACATGGGACCCTCCGCCGGTCAAAACAAACAGAACATCCCGGGATACCCTCCGCGGGATGCACAAGAACATCCAACAACCACGAAGAACACCAGGGTACCCTCCCCGAGCCGACCTCGATCTTATACCTCGGTCTGGCTGTACTGTGTGCACGTCTTTTCATGGTGCACGTAATCGTCCTAGAATTGTGACCACAAGCTGCTGTCCGACGTTATGATTGGCCAATTCCACATGTTATGCGAATGGGCCGAAGAAGCTTCCCGCGCATCTGTCCTAAACTGTGTGCTTACACCAGAACGGAAAGACAGCCCCCCAGGGGGCCTCCTATGTGGACAGTGTCGCTATGCATCACTGGGCGGCGGAGGATGTGGTTTTCCAGAGAGCTGAACATTGCACATCGAAAGAACAAGTACATGACAGCGCTGATGTTCAGACACTTGCTGGCGTAAGGCAAGTGCAGAGACACCCCGCCCGTATGGACGAATCGACCATTTGTGGCCGCGTGACCGCTATCGCGCCGCGCACGAACGTAGACTGGCCTTGCGACACCCGGTGTACATGTCCCGTCTTGGCCACAAGCCCAATCCAAATCAGGGCAGAAACAGCTGGGATGCTGACCGCAGATCCTAAGATCTCTTTCGCATCTATTCCTCTTTCAATTTTTTGTTTAAGCCCGGGCGGAGGGACCCCCCCCCCAAAACCGGACTCCCGAGATCTGGGGCTTTGGGACCTTCCGGACGGGCCTCGAAGCGGCCCCCCGGGCCTCGCAGGGCGTTTGGCCAAACCTTCGCAGCACATTCTGGGCGATCAAAGGGGTCCTCGGAACCGTCCCAAAGACCCCGGAGACAGCACAAGAGCGCTCCAAGAAACCGTTATACCCCGAAAGATCGCTCCAAAACGTGCCAAGAGGCCTCCAAGAGCACCCCCAAGAAGGCCCCAAGAGGGAAAAGTCATTGATTTTATGTAGGTTTTTGGTGAATTGGGGGGGGTTCTCCTCTTTTCGGCTTCCCGACGCTCCAAGACGGCGGTCTTTTGTTCTGGGCGTCCGAAACCGCCTGGGAGGCTCCAAAATTGCCCCACAACCATCCGAGAGGGCTTCCAGGCAGTCCAAGATAGCCCCAAAACGGCACAACAGGGGTCCAGGATGGCTCTAAGAGAGCCCCATGGCGGCCCGAGATGGCCCCAAGACACCTCCGAAACATTCCAAATCGTGACCAGGGCGTTCAGGGAGACCGCGGTTAGAGGCAGGTTGGCCTTAGGAAGCCCCAGAGGCTCCCAGAACACGCTCAGGAGGCCTCCAGAAGGCTTTAAGAAAGCTTGAGAACCTTGGTGAGGCCCCCAGAGGCTCTCTAAGGAGGAGCCTCCGCAAAAAGAGCTGAGGAGGATGGGGAGGATGCCCAGGGTATGGCGAGAATGAGGAAACATAAACATGGAGGAAAGATGAATGAACAATATTATTAGAACGGCGATGCCAGCAAAAGCAGCAAAGACTTATCGCTAAATTGTCGGCTGGACCTTTCTGCCATTTCCGCCTGCATACCAAACTTCAAGGACCAAGGTGCATGGCGCGAAGCGCCACTGCGGTCTTGTATGTATGTATGTATGTATGTATGTATGTATGTAGGTAGGTAGGTAGGTAGGTAGGTAGGTAGGTAGGTAGGTAGGTATGTATATATACATATAGATATCCTCGTCTGTGGGCTCCTGATGCTTCAAAGCGAGGCGCATGTCTCGTAGCACCTCTCGGAATGGACTGCCGTCTGGTCACTTGGTGATCGCCGAGCTGCTGGTCCGTAGGAACCCAGAAGAAGTGGCTGGCTGCGCTGGTCGTCTGCTACGGACGTGTCGCTGATCTCCTCCTGCAGAGTCTTTGGGGCTTACAGTGTCTAGCAAAAGACGCCGCTCTGACGGGGGCTTGGGCCGTCTTTGAGCATCGCGCCGTACAACCTGGCGCAATTTGTGACTTGAGCAAGCGGCAATCTGGCCGGACACCTCGTGCTTCCAGCGATGCAAACACGCGGCGGCTGATCTGGTCTCGGCTGCCAGCGTCAATCTACACGCCTTCTTGATGGCCCCCGACCTCCAATCTACGATGTCCGCTCTGGCGCGTTCTCCACTTAGTATCTTGGCTTTCACGAGGAAGGTGATGTAACTGGCCTGTGAGCGGGTCTTGATCTTCTTGCCCTTGCCCCCGATGCTCGCTAGCTTCGACACTAGCTGTGCGATCGTGCTCTCCAGGGGCTCACCTGCATTGGCCTGGCTGGCGTCGTGGTAAGTCACGAGGCAGAGCGGGCCGCGTAGAACAAGGAACTCCAATCCCACGTCTGCGTGTTTGCGAGCTAGCTTGATGAACCGCTTGGTCTCTTGCGGTCGCAGCACGCTGCAAACGTCATGGAAGGAGCCGCGAATGAACTCGATCCAGACGGCTGCGGATATGGTGGTGTTTGATAGGTGCGTGCTGGCCTGTCTCCGGATAGCTCGCCCCTGATTTCTGCCTGAGGTGCGTGCTAATGCTGGCTGGCTTTGGCTGGCTCTGCTAGCTATGGGCTTGGCGTTGTTTGCGTGATCGGCCGTTTTGTTGCCGAAGTTGGCATGGTACCCCAAGCCTCGCTTTCTGACGCTGGCGACGATTAGCGCGATGGGTTGCGGGCGCGCATCGCGCCGCGTATGTGCTGCTCGAACGGGCCCGCGCTGTCGAGCTCGCTGTTCGCGTCAGTCTCGGACTGAGACTCGTCGGTCTCTGATGCGTCGGCCCCCTGGTCGACTGGCTCAGGCTCCGCCGTCGTTGCAGGGCCGGCTGGCGTAGTCGTCTCAGCATGATATGTTCCTCAAGGGGTGCAGGCGAATCTCTGTCGGAGTGTCCGCCGCGCCTTGCGCGGGCAAGTAGCTCGGCGTGACCTGCAACATGTGCGTGGGGTGCCCGGCCTGGCTGAAGCCCATCTTGACGCCGTCCTCCTTGATCGCCTTGGTGTCGTGCTCCTTGTGTCCCGCGTGGTAGACGGAGTCCAACTCGCTCTGGGCTTGCCTGCTGAACAATCCGGGGGCGGCGCTCCTCGCGACGCTCATCTGGACGGTGAACGCCTTGCCGTTCACGGCGCAGGAAAACAACGCCGCCAGAATGCTGTAGACGACCTTGGAAGCTCCGAAGCGGGACGTTTCCTTCTCGGGATACTCGATGGGCTGGATGCTAGAAGCCGCCAGCCTGGACTGGAGGTTGCTGTGCCGGTCCAGGCCTCCGACGCACTGCGAGCAGGCTGCGTTGAAGGTTAGCTTGCCTCCGGCCTCCATCAGCAGGGCCACGATGCTGACGAACACCGGCGCCAACTCTGTGGAGGCCATGCGGCACGCGGTGATGTGGAAATGCGCCGCGGTGACCTCGTCAAGTGCCGCCGCGGGCCGCGGCCGCTCGCGCCATGCTGGCGCGCCTTGGCCTTCTCTCCGGGCTTCTGATGATCGGCCGGGCCGATCGTCATCTGTGCGTCGCGCGGCTCGCGCTCGGCCGAGCTTCCCTCGTGCGTGGCGGCGTTCGTCTTGCGGGAGCTCGTGCGCGGGATGTCCGCGCGCGCTTCGGGTCGTTCTTCGTCCTGCGCTGCGGGCCTCCGCGCCAATGGCCCTTCTCGCTGCGGGCCCCTTCCAGCTGCTCTTCGCCTTCCTCTTCGCAATCTTGTCCGCGTCCTTCTTGGGCGGCTGCCCGCCGTCCCGCTTGGCAAAGTAACTCCTGGCCTGCCTGGCCTCCTGGAGCCCGTCCTTCGCGCGCGCGCGCTAACTATCTTCTTGGTGAACAATGCGACCTGCTCCTCGGCCTCGTCGACGGCGCCCAGTAGCTCGTCGGGAACGTCGCTGGGTTCGAACGAGTCCGAATCGGAGGCAGAATCGTCGTCCTCGACGTGCTCCGTAGCGTACTTCGATCTCGGGAAACTTGTCCATGAGGTAATTGAGGAAGACCTCCTCCGAGTCGTCGCCCCTCATGCTGGACAGGTCCAGCTCCTCGCGAACCTCACCAGCCTTGCCCGTGAGGCCGGCGAAGGGTGTAGCCCCACGGCGGGTGACCGCCCCGTCTGTGTCGATCTCCCAAGTGGCGACCTCCCAGAGATAATCTTTCATGGTCTTGTTCGTGCCGTCGAAGATGGGGGTCGGCACCTTGTTCCCGCCTGCCTGGTCGTCGCCGCCAGCTTCGGCAACGCCGGTCGTCATGTCGACGAGTGGCTGGCGACAGGAACTTTACCCTTCGCGGGCTGTCTCATGCCGTGGCTCTGAGACCGTAAGGCCGTGGATGCCATTGGCCGCCAGATCACGGCGTTGCCGTAATCGAAGTGCCTCCTGCTATCACGGTAAAACCAAAACTGCAAAGAGGGGTCAACATGCGAAGGCAACTGCGAAGTTATGATAAGCGATTGTGGTAATAGTCTTTGCAAATACTGGCGATTGTATTTCGTTAAGCGATGCAAGCGATTGTCTCTACCGATGCGCCCACGCTCAAGGGCCCTGAGAAGAGTGATGCTGAAAGGGTACGTCTGAGATGCCACTCGCACCGTCTGAATAAGCACGTGCCTGTGAGCACATCTGCTGGCCAACTGCTCTGCTACAACAGACAGATCAGCACTGAAACCATGTACGGCAGGTTCGCGTCGTGTCGACCCCGGCGTTGGTTTCTGACACCGCGGGGATCGTTCAACCTTGAACGATCGGCCGTCTCCGCAACGTCCGATCGTTCAACATCGATCGATTCTGGGTCGCCGGCGGCGTTCAACCTTGAACGTCCGCGCTGGGGTCGCCGCTGGTCGACACGACGCAAACCTACCGTACCTCATACCCCACGCAGACCTCAAGGCGACTCGGTACGTGCGAGTCCCGGGCCCCGGGACGTCCCGCCCCCTGTCCGAACAGCTTCTCGACGGCCCCGGGGGCCCGAGGCCGGCCTCCGGAGGCCGAGCTGCAGAGCAAAAATGCCGGCGAGCTCCCAGACGTCCGGCGTGCTCTCTTTCGTTCCCCCTCGATCCGCGCCCCACAGACTTCCCGACCCCTCTCCTGGGGCCAGCCTCTCGTCCTGGACCCCTCCGTGACGGTGCTGGAGCCCGAGGGCGGGCCCCGGAGGCCGAAACGCTCGAGGGAGGCCGATCCTCGGAACACTGCCCGGCCTCGCCATCGTCGCACCTCTGGGCAGCTGCGCAGAGGGCTCCGGGAGGCGCCCCCGCCGGGCGCCTCGACCCCATCAGTGCACGCAGGGCTCCGCACCTCGGCCGCCGGCGAGGCCCCCCCCCCCCCGCGCCGCGCCCCCCCCCCCCCTGGCTTGGGGGGCAGCGTCGGGGGGGGGGCCCAGGAGCGCAGGGGGGGGGGGGAGGCATCCGGCTGGAATCGGCGATGCCTCGCCGATCGGTCGGCGACGGGCCCCCGATCGCCCGACAGCGAGTCCGCACGCTCCTGGGCGGGGTGGGCTGGTGGGCCCCATCTCGGCGACCCATGGGTGATGGGGGGTCGACGCGTCCCTCTCTGGGCCTGTCCCCCCTCCCCCAGACGTTGCCCCCGTCACCTGGTAGCGGGCGGGCCGCAGCGCGCGGTGGTCTGAGCGGACCAGTCTGCAGCAGCGCCTTTTGAGCACCGACAGCGATCGTTGTGATCGTTGTCGTTGCGATCGTTGTGATCGGTATCGTTGTCGTTGTGACCGTTGATAGTTGTGATCTTTGGGGTCGCCATTCGTTATCATTACCACCGCCCCTGCGAAGAGGGAGACCGCTCTGCCCAGGCTGCCCTGCTTCTCCTTCTCCGCCGCCTCCTCCTCCGCCTCCGCCTCCTCCTCCTCCTCCTCCTCCTCCTCCTCCTCCTCCTCCTCCTCTCCTCCTCCTCTCCTCCTCCTCCTCCTCCTCCTCCTCCTCCTCCTCCTCCCTCCTCCTCCTCCTCCTCCTCCTCCTCCTCCTCCTCCTCCTCCTCCTCCTCCTCCTCCTCCTCCTCCCCCTCTGGCTTTTGTTGCTCTGGCTCCCGCGCCCCGCGGGCTGATCTTCGCGCCCTCGCGCTGCCCCTGGAGAAGGGCAGCTCCCGAGTGCAGGCCGCGGCGTGCGAGGCGCGATCGCCTGCGCCCCACCCGCGGGCGATCCAGCGCTGCCCCGGACCCTGCAGGCTGCTCGATGCTGCACGGGGCGAGGGGGCTCGCAGATCGCTTGGTGACGTACAGTCGGGCTGCTGAAATAAGGAACGCTCAATAAGGAACGAAGCCTCTCTGTGGCTCCAAAAAAGCCGGGGTGCACGAGAAGGGCTAGAGAAACAGCCGCGGAAGGACATGAGAAACATCGAGCCCCATCTGAATCCAAACTGTTCATTATTCCAGCGTCTGGGCTGTACCCAGCACAACCCAGACGACTGGCAGCATCCTGGGAGGCGAGGCCTCACCTGGGTGCCCGCGCGTCGGCGATCAGCTGGCCACCCACGGATCCCAGGAAGCGATAGCTGTGCCTTGGCACCGCCCAGGGAGGCAGGTCCGTTCGGTTGCTTGTGCGTCGGCGCTCCGCAGAGCTCTCCGGCAAGGAGGGAGCCCGCTCTGCCCAGCCCAACTGGAGTGTACGTCTGGCAGCCCCCGCGGGGACGAGGTCTTATTCGGGTGTCCGCACGGAGGCGCTACGCTGGACTCCCTGGGCGGCATGACGCGGAGGCTGACAGCATCCAAGAGAGGCAATCACCAGCAGACAGTGGCAGCGGAAGCGATGGAAGAAAAGGGGGATGAGAGGAGAGGAGAGGAGATGAGATAGGAGAGAGGAGCGGAAATGATACAGCATGCGCGATGAGAGCAGAGGAATAATGAACAGCAGAGCAACAACAATTCTAATTATCCCAGTGCGACCCTACCTAGGAGTTGGAGCCCCTAGGAAAGCAGCATTAGTAGTAACAGAAAAGCTAAGCTAAAGATATGATAAAGCTAAGCTAAAGCTAAGCTAAAGCTAAGCTAAAGCTAAGCTAAAGCTAAGCTGAAGCTAAGCTAGAGCTAAGCTAAAGCTAAGCTAAAGCTAAGCTGAAGCTAAGCTAGAGCTAAGCTAAAGCTAAGCTAGAGCTAAGCTGAAGCTAAGCTGAAGCTAAACTGAAGCTAAGCTAGAGCTAAGCTAGAGCTAAGATGAAGCTAAGCTGAAGCTAAGCTAACGCTAAGTTAAAGCTAAGCTGAAGCTAAGCTAAAGCTAAGCTAAAGCTAAGCTGAAGCTAAGCTTAAGCTAGGCTAAAACTAAGCTAAAGCTAAGCTAAAGCTAAGCTGAAGCTAAGCTAAAGCTAAGCTGAAGCTAAGCTAAGCTGGGTGAACCCAGGGGGCGCAACTGGGGGAACCGCGGGGCGGGGACTGGGGGAACCGCCCGGGGCGGTTTCCATTGCCTGGCCCCTTTAAGCTAAGAGAGTAAGAACCCTTCTAGGCAGAGCCTAGGTAGGGAATTAAAACGAAGGCCCCGTCGGAGGATGACTGGGAAACAAACTCCAGGAACGAGGCTGCTTATCTGAGGCGCCGCTTCCCAGCTCGCTTTCAGGCTAACGCTGGATGGCTCGTGGCAGGAGGGATGCTCCTCGGTTGAAGGCATCGCCCTGGGAGCTTCGCCTTTGAGCTCCATGGCTGCCACTTCTCAGTCCTCCCAAGATGCCAGGGAGGGGCCAGGGAGGGTCCACGGCAGAGGGGGGCATATGCCCCCTCCTCGGCGAAAGCATCGCTCTGTAGCGCTGCCTTGCCGATCTCGGGCGCCGCTTCTGACCCCCACCCCCCCAGGAGGCCAGGGCGGAGCCAGGGAGGGCTGAGGGAGCGGGTGGGGGAGGTGTGTTTCTGCTCTGCTCTTCTTCCCCCAGACGGCCCTGGACTGGCTGCTCCCATTGGGGCCCACCCCCCTGCTTCTCCCCTGGCCACCCCGCGGCGCGACCCCGACAGAGAGGCAGCTGACCCGATAGTTAGACCGCTTTTCCTGCGCTGGCGGTGCCACGGGATCGCAGAAACGACGCCCGAAGTGATCACTCGAGCACGTCTTGGTGCCCAAATCAGCGGCAGCCGAGCGGGCCCCCACTAACCGAAAAGGACTTGCACAACGCACGACATGATCCACAGCAGGCGCGACGTCAGAGGCACATGCCATGCATCGAGGCGCAGCTTCGCTTCTCCCTCGGGGCACAATCAAACTACTACACCAAGGAGCGCCAGCCACAATCAAAACTAGTATTAAGGATGCGCGATAGTGATGCAAGCCCCTTGGACGTCCGGATCGATTATTCCCAACCATCCTGTGGTGTTGGGTCCTCGATTTGAAGAGACAGCGCCCCACGTCCCTCCCTCCTGCCTCCTCCTCCTCCTCCTCCTCGTCCTCCTCCCTCCTGCTTCCCATCCTTGCCTCTGCTCTCCGCATGCCCATCCCATTTCGGCGCACCCCTCACAGGGTTCGTGGCCCCATAGGGAGCTCCACCGAAGGCCCCAGTGGCAGCGTTCGCGTGCAGTTCCACCCTCATTTCGGCGCACCCCTCACAGGGTTCGTGGCCCCACAGGGAGCTCCACCGAAGGCCCCAGTGGCAGCGTTCGCATGCAGTTCCAACCTCATGTCGGCGCACCCCTCACAGGGTCCGTGGCCCCATAGGGAGCTCTACCGAAGGCTCCTGTGGAAGCGTTCGCATGCAATTCCACTCATGTCGGCGCACCCCTCATAGGGTTCGTGGCTCCATAGGGAGCTCCACCGGAGGCCCCAGTGGCAGCGTTCGCATGCAGTTCCACCCTCATGTCGGCGCACCCTCACAGGGTTCGTGGCCCCATAGGAGCTGCACCGAAGGCCCCAGTGGCAGCGTTCGCATGCAGTTCCACCCTCATTTCGGCGCACCCCTCACAGGGTTCGTGGCCCCATAGGGAGCTCTACCGAAGGCCCCAGTGGCAGCGTTCACATGCAGTTCCACCCTCATTTCGGCGCACCCCTCACAGGGTTCGTGGCCCATAGGGAGCTCCACCGAAGGCCCCAGTGGCAGTGTTCGCGTGGAGTTCCGCCCTCATGTCGGCGCACCCCTCACAGGGTTCGTGGCCCCATAGGGAGCTCCAGCGAAGGCCCCAGCGCAGCGTTCGCATGCAGTTCCACTCTCATGTCGGCGCACCCCTCACAGGGTTCGTGGCCCCACAGGGAGCTCCACCGAAGGCCCCCGTGGAAGCGTTCGCATGCAGTTCCACCCTCATTTCGGCGCACCCCTCATAGGGTTCGTGGCCCCACAGGGAGCTCCACCGAAGGCCCCAGTGGCAGCGTTCGCATGCAGTTCCACCCTCATGTTGGCGCACCCCTCACAGGGTTCGTGGCGCCACAAGGAGCTCCACCGAAGGCCCCAGTGGCAGCGTTCGCATGCAGTTCCACCCTCGTTGCGGCACACACCCCACAGGGTTCGTGGCCCCATAGGGAGCTCCACCGAAAGCCCTACTGGCAGCGTTCGCATGCAGTTCCACTCTCATGTCGGCGCACCCCGCACAGGGTTCGTGGCCCCGTAGGGAGCTCCACCGAAGGCCCCAGTGGCAGCGTTCGCATGCAGTTCCACTCTCATGTCGGCGCACCCCTCACAGGGTTCGTGGCCCCATAGGGAGCTCCACCGAAGGCTCCAGTGGCAGCGTTCGCATGCAGTTCTACCCTCATTTCGGCGCACCCCTCACAGGGTTCGTGGCCCCATAGGGAGCTCCACCGAAGGCCCCAGTGGCAGCGTTCGCATGCAGTTCCACCCTCAGTTCGGCGCACCCCTCACAGGGTTCGTGGCCCCATAGGGAGCTCCACCGAAGGCTCCAGTGGCAGCGTTCGCATGCAGTTCCACCCTCGTTGCGGCGACCCCTCACAGGGTTCGTGGCCCCATAGGGAGCTCCACCGAAGGCCCCAGTGGCAGCGCTCGCATGCAGGTCCACCCTCATGTCGGCGCACCCCTCACAGGGTACGTGGCCCCATAGGGAGCTCCACCGAAGGTCCCAGTGGCAGCGTTCGCATGCAGTTCCACCCTCATGTCGGCGCACCCCTCACAGGGTTCGTGGCGCCACAAGGAGCTCCACCGAAGGCCCCAGTGGCAGCGTTCGCATGCAGTTCCACTCTCATGTCGGCGCACAGGGTTCGTGGCCCCATAGGGAGCTCCGCCGAAGGCCCCAGTGGCAGCGTTCGCATGCAGTTCCACCCTCATTTCGGCGCACTCCTCACAGGGTTCGTGGCCCCACAGGGAGCTCCACAGAAGGCCCCAGTGGCAGCGTTCGCATGCAATTCCACCCTCGTGTCGGCGCACCCCTCACAAGGTTCGTGTCCCCACAGGGGGCTCCAGCGAAGACGGTACTCACAAGTGCGGCACTCAAAAACTGCATATGGTTGGGTCCTTCGCCAAGCTCATTTTTTTTCGAACGGTGCTGGCCATCGAAAGCAGACAAGGATAGACCGGAGAGGTAAGGATGCAAGGGTATCCTCGAGAAGGTTACCCATCCTTCTCCCTGCTCTGGCTCTTCCTGCTGATGACTCCACCAAGGAAGTTCACCCGTGGTCGTGTACACACATATGAAGATGCACATTCATATACACATGCATCTACATACATGCACATATCCATGCACATTCACACATGCAACTACATACATAGGCACACACACATACATACCATTTACACATACGCATACATACGCATGTAAATGCACAAACGCGTATCCACATGCATATATATACACACGTTTGTATACATGTTCATACACTTATAGCTACACCTACATGTACATGTACATGTGCACACATATACATGTACATGTACATATGCACACGCATTTATATATCCATACACTTATCCATATGTGTATACATGTTATGTTTATATATATATATATAGATATATGCACCAAGTGTCTCTCAACGCGTATGTCGGTGTATATGAAATGCCTCTCACTGTGTCTCGTCCTCCGCGTGCTCCCTGTCCGCGATGGCCGCCGTCTCTGCCGGCGCGCGGACCACTCTCCCCCTTTACCCTCTCCTGTTGCTGCTCCTGCTCCTCCTTCCCCTCTCCTTCCCCCCTACCCCTGCTGCTGTGCTGCCCATCCTTCCCCCCCCCTGCTCCCCTTCAGCTTCGGGTCACGTTGCTTCTATGCACCAGGCTGCTGGTGCCTTGGGGTACGGGCCGCTCATTTTCCTCCCCCGCCCCGTGGAGACCGCGCTGACATCACGACGGATGACGACCCAGAAACCAATTCCATGCTCGCCTCTGGTGGGCAAATTGCGGGAGCAATCCGCGGGCAAGGAAGAGGAAGGGGAGGGCCATCAACTGTCCCTAGATCGGCCATAATCTCTCCACCCCAACCCAAGGCGAATAGCTAAGAACGGCCCGGCAAAGAAGACCCAACTCGTAGCGACACTGAAGAACAAGTGCAGCAATGATACAGCCAATGACGCAGACCTTGACCGATTTTCTTTGCAGATTATTCCCTTGAGGATCGCCTGGACACTTCAACCCACGCCTCTTCTCTCCGCTGGACGCCCTCCACAGCGCGGGGTCTTGTGGAGGGGCGCCTAGAGCGGCTTATGTGCGTTGTCACCATACATCTGGTTAATTTGCACAGGCGTCGAGCCCGATTCTGAGGCTGACGCTTTGGACATTGACCTGCCGACCCGCCGATCAGATTGCGCATGCGTGCAACAGATTTGGCCGAGGCAGCCGTGGCCCACAGAGCGCCGCCAGGGACATTGCACCTGGCGGGTGCCTCTCCGGAGCTGCGGGGAGAAAAAAAACGGCGCCCCTGCCAGCGACATCAAAAATCAAGCAGGAGCTGGACGAACTATCTACTTCTGGCTGTTTGCCTCCTCCGCCTGCTGGGCTCGCTCGGGCGCGTGGCGCGGCACCCAGAGACGTTGCCGGCAAAGACCCACTGGTTGTAGCCAGGAGCAGCCATGGGCGTTCAGCAGACGCGGGGGTGCGCGGGGCTAGCTCAGTGCCCGAGTGCGCCCTTCCGCTGCGAAGGCGATGCGGCTGCGATACCAGGGCTCCCGCGCACCCCCTACTCGAGAGACTCGGACGTGCCCGACGTACCCTCCTGGGTGCTGACCGAGGTCAAAGACTCGTTGTCGCTCTTCTGCAAGGGCAGCAGCGGTAGCTCCGGCTTGGGGTCTTTCCATCGTTGCACCACTTCCCAGACGCCGCGGACGAGACCGTGGGCCTCGAACACGTCGGGATTCTTGGACACGAGGTTGAACAACTGGATGCCTACCACTGCTGCGATGTAGCCGAGGATCTGCTGCGGGGCCACGGGCGTGTGCAAGGCCAGGATGGAGCCCAAGATTATGACTATGTCTTTCATCACGCCGCACAGAATGTAAAGCACTGGGCTAGTAGCGTTGATGAGTAACACCACCGACACATTGAGAGCGAAGGCGACCAGACCGTTTAAGATGAGTAAGCCGAAGCCTACCTCCTCCTGGAATTCCGCCGCAAAGGAGCTCCAATCGGACGGCATCTCCGTCAGCATCGCAAACGGCACCAGAAATACCAGGCACATCGGGGCGTAGTAGGAGAGGGCGGTCAAGGGGTCCATCTTCAGGCCGCTCTTGTTGAGAAGCAACCCGATGAGGACAACCCGCGTGCACTCCGAGACCGACGAGAAGCACTGGCAGAGGAACCCGACCACGTGGAACTCGAGCTCGCCTGTCACGGCCAACATCACTCCAAAACACACCAAGGAGACAAGCCGGAGCTTGCTCCACATGAACAGCTCGGCCCCGACCAACGTGTTGAGCAGGTATGTCGTGACCCCGTGCGATGCCTTCACCATCTGAATGAAGGCGATGGAGCAGTAGAGGTACGCGCGGTTCCCCATGGCGAGCGCGGCGGAGAAGAGCGCCGCGATAGGCATCAACTTCGTCAGCACCGTGTTCAAGGAAACTTCTGGCTGCTCCTCGCTGAAGAGGCCCAGGTGCGCTGGGGCCGTGTAGTGCAAGACCCGCACCAAAACAGAACTTACCGCCATGTGCCAGGCTGTCAGGAGCGCTGGGTACTTCATCCTGTTGTTGAGGATGTCGCTGTTCATGAATATCAGAGCGGTGCTGAGCACCATCCACACGGCAATGTACGGCCACGCCCTCCACAACGACTTCTCCGTCGGTGGCGGAACCATCGTGCCACTCTCTCAATCGGCTACGTGCTGGAGCATGCCAGTGGTCACCTAGCGACCCTTGACCCGAGACGGATCTAGAGAACAGGAACTTCTCTCAACAACTCGCGGAACATCAGAGGCACAGGTGATTGCCAACGTGTAGCCAATAGTGGGTTGTTACACTCTCTCGGTGTACAATATGTGGTGCAACATGTGTGGTGCCATCAATGTGGTGCACCCGCTGTGGCGTAATCTATTTGTGGTGGTCGTGCAAACATGCCCCCACCCACCCGTGCCTTTTGGCAACGCTCAACCTGGCGGCGAAAGCGACGATGACGATGACAATCAGGATGCTCATGGCGACGGTGGCAGCGATGTCAACGATGACAACGTCGACCAACGATGGTGATAGAGCTGACTGTGATGATGATGACGGTGGCAGTGATGGCGCTGACGATGATGATAACGACGGTGCTGGTGAGGATGATGAGGAAACGCGCGCGATCAGGTTTGACGAAGGCGACTACGTCGACGATGCCGATGATGACGGCGTTGGTGATGACGACGACTACGACGATATTGACGATGGTGACGACGATGATGCTGATGCTGATGCTGATGCTGACGATGCTGATGCTGATGCTGATGCTGATGCTGCTGCTGCTGCTGCTGCTGATGATGATGATGATGATGATGATGATGATGATGATGAGGATGATGATGATGATGACCGTGGCAATGCTGACGCTAGCGAGGATTACATGTAACGATAGTGCTGACGAGATGAATGAGACGTGTGCGCTCGCAGGGATACCAAAATTAGGCCGCCTGTAACATAAACAAGCTATTTGGATTTGGCACGGTTCGAACACCTGTGCTGAACGAAGTAGGAAACCAAAGATTTTGGCATGGGCTTTGACGTGCGAGCGCCGAAGCGTGCGCGTCTGGCCCGCATCGTCCGTTTTGACCATGCGTTGGCGGGTGCGCGATGGCTTGTTACTCTTGTCGAAATGCGTGCGCGGCATCGGCGACGACGACGACGATAATGATGATGGTGACAAGGATGACGAGGGCAACGAGAACGACGATCACGATAATGATAGCGACGGTTTTGAAGATAACGACGGTTGTGATGGATGCGACGATGATTATTATGATGATGGCGATGCCAATGCTAACGCTGGCGATGGTGTTGGCACTGCTTTTGATGAGGATGACGATTAAGACGCGCACGCAATAATGTGTATATTCCTATTCTGATATTTTTACTACCTGGGCCCCCCCCCCAAACCAGACCCCCCCCCAAAGGACGCTCCGGACGCCCTTTCGGACGTCTCGGCGGCCCCCTGGACGCCCTTCGAAAAGGTTCGGTGGCCCTTCCGCCTTGGTGGACCTTGCGAGCCGACTCAAAGCGATCAGAGGGGTCGTCGGAAAGGCGCAAGGGAGACCCAAGACAGCACAAGAGCGCTCCAAGAGGGAACCTCGATGGTCTGAAGACGGCCCAAGCGGCCCCCCAAACACCCGAAGAGGCCGTTAAGAGAGCCCCGAAGAAGTCCAAATCGTCGCATTCTCTCAAGACATAGACGTTTTATTGCATATCCGCTTTTTGGGTCTTCGCAGCGCCCGAGGCAGCGCCCAATGGACCCCCGATATCGCCCCAAGACGGCCCAGGAGGCCCCCCAGAGGGTTTGAAGACGGCCCAAGAGGGCCCCAAGACTGCCCCAGAGAGCCCCGAGACTGCCCACAAAAAGTCAAAGATGCCCCCAGAAGGCTCCCAAGAGAGACCCAGGAAAGCCATGGGATACCTCCAAGAAGGCCACTGGAGGCCCGCAAGAGGGCCCTAGATGGCTTCAGAAGACCTCTGTAGGGCCCCAGCTCCCCAAGACGGCCCAAGAAACCCCCAGGACGGCCCAAGAGGGCCCCTGGGCGGCCCCAAAAACAACCCATATTCGACGATCGAATATTTCCTGGGTGTCTGGAGCCTTCCAGGCATTCAGGAAGCGACCGAATATCGATTTGCTCGGAGCTACTGCGACTTCTTCGGCGTGTCATGGGAACGCTCCTTACTTCCTCAAAGGACTTTCGCGAGCGAAAAAATCAACATGACTTCCCAACTCCTGCGCACAAGCGTGCAAACGCATCGGCCGAACGCGGTGTCAGCAGGCACCAGGGATATCGGAAAAATCCGGTCGCCCGCCCAGGCCTCGAGGTCCCCCGTGCTGAAGCAAGCGATGATTTATTGCTTTGCCAGGGAAGCGTCTGGAACAAGGCGCATGGCGCGAAATGCCAATGCAGTATTGTGTAGGTTTTTATGTTTGTTTGTATGTATGTATGTACATACGTATGTATGTATGTATGTATGTATGGATACATGCATGCATGCATGCATGTATGTGTGTATGTATGTATGTATGCATGCATGTCTGTCTGTCTGTCTGTCTGTCTGTCTGTCTGCCTGCCTGTCTGTCTGTCTGTATGTATGTATGTATGTATGTATGTATGTATGTATGTTGTATGTGTATATGTATAGATGTATGTATGTATGTATGTATGTATGTATGTATGTATGTATGCATGATTATTCTTATATATATATATGTATATCTACACATGCAAGACTACAGTGGCGCTTCGCGCCATGAACCTTGGTCCTTGAGCTTTGGTATGCAGGCGGAATAGCTGTAAAATCAAGCCGACAATTTAGCGATGACTCCTTGTTGCTTTTTCCGGCATCGCCGCTATAATAATGTTCTTCGTTATCCTTGCTCCATGCTTCTTTTTCCTTATTTTCGCCATACCCTGCGCATTCTCCCCATCCTCCTCAGCTCTTTTTTGTGGAGGCTCCTCCTTGGAGAGCCTCTGGGGGCCTCACAAAAATTGTTTCAAACGTTCTTAAGGCCTTCTGGAGGCCTCCTGGGCGTATTCTGGGGGCCTCTGGGAGCTTCCTCTGGCCACCCTGCCTCCAACCGCGGTCTCCCTGAACGACCAGGTCACGATTTGGAATACTTCGGAGGGTATCTTGGGGCCATCTTGGGCCGCCATGGGGCTCTCTGAGGGCCATCTTGGACCCGTGTTGTGCCGTTTTGGAGCTCTCTTGGACTGCCTGGAAGCCCTTTCGGATGCTCTGGACACCCAGAAGACCGCCGTCTTGGAGCGCCGTGAAGCCGAAAAGAGGAGGACCCCAAATTTCACCAAAAACCTATATCAAATCAATGATGTTTGCCTCTTGGGGCCTTCTTGGGAGTGCTCTTGGAGGCCTCTTTGGGGCCGTCCTGGAGGCCTCTTGGGCCATCTTGAGTTCACGTCGGTCACTCTTGGAGCGCTCTTGTGCTGTCTTGGGGGTCTCTGGGGCGTCTCCGATGACCCCCCTGATCGCCCTAGGTGTGCTGGGAAGGCTTGGCAAAACGCCCTGCGAGGCCCGGGGGGCCGCTTCGAAGCCCGTCCGGAGGGTCCCAAAGCCTCAGATCTCGGGAGTCCGGATTTTTTTTTGGGGGGGGAGTGACGGGTTTTCCCCCCGCCCGGGCTTGTAAAAACATTGGAAGAGGAATATTCGTCCACCTATGAAATTACAAAGAAAAGCCGGGCATGTCACCGACCCCCCCCTCTACTTGGGCACCGGCACGCGAACCCCAGACCACCCTCCCCGGCGCCCCGAAGAAGCCTCAAGACGGCCCAAGAGGCCTCAAAGACGGCCCCAGGAGGCCCCAAAAATCGTCCAAGAGGGCCCCGAGACGCACAAAGATCGCTCCACGACGCCCAAGATAGTCCCAATATGGCCCAAGACCTCTCCAAGACGCCCTCAGACGCGTCCAGGAGGCTTCCCAAGAGGGCCCCAAGAGGCAAAAATGGTTGGTTTCTTCGAAGGCTTTTGAAGGTTTCTACGGGTCTCGTCTTTTCGGCTTCCCGACGTTCCAAGACAGCCCCAAAGGCCCCCGAGATCGCCCCAAGACCGCCCAAGAGGCCCCCGAAACAGCACCAAGACAGCCCAAACGGGCCCCAAGGCAGCCCAAGAGGCCTCCAAGGCAGCCCAAAAGGGCCCCAGGACGACTCCAAGAGAGAGCCCAGACGGAGGATCCGAACGGACTTTTCGGGCTTTGGCCCCAAGAGGCCCCCAGGAGGGGGCAAGAAACGCCCTGGAGGCCCCCAAGAGGCCCCCAAGAGGCCCCGACGAGACTCCCAAGAAGCTCCAGAGCGGTCCCCAAGAGCCCCCCAAACGGCCCCCAACAGGCACCGAACTGGGACCCACGAGGTTTCCGAAATGCTTCCAGGAGGCCCTCAAGAGACCTGCCCCCAAGATCATCCAAGAGAGCCAGAAAACGCACAACGATCGCTCCACGACGCCCAAGGTAGCCTCAATACGGCCCAAGACGCCTCCAAGACGCCCCAAGAGGCGTCCAAGAGGCTTCCCTAGAGGGCCCCAAGAGGCACACATTGTTGTTTTTCCCCATATCCTAAGATGGGGTTCTTGTTATTACTCTGACGCCTCCTACTCCTTCTTCTCCTCCTCCTTCTCCTCCCCTCTCCTCCTCATACCCAGACTTACTCATACACATACTGACTCACAGACTTACTCATACCCAGACTTACTCACACACAATATTACTCATACTCAGACCTACTCATACTCAGACTTACTCATGCTGAGACTCATTCATACCCAGACTTACTCATACTCAGGCCTTCTCATTGTCTGACTTACTCTACACACAACAGATTGTGAGGATGTCTCAGGCTGGGCGCTGGTTTCAGCACCGCTAAGGGGAGCCGCCGAGGGGTATGACACGGTGCCGTTCGCGGCCGTTTTGTGGGGATGTCTCAAACGGTTTGCTTGTTTTCTGGTCCAACATCCTTCGCTTTCGGCGCAGATTTGGAGGATGTCTCGAGCGAGGCGCTCATTTTCACGCCCCTAAAGGGAGCCGCCGAGGGGTATGACACGGTCCCGTTCGCGGCCGTTTTGTGGGGATGTCTCAAGCGGTTTGCTTATTTTCTGGCCCAACATCCTTCGCGTTCGGAGCAGATTTGGAGGATGTCTCGAGCGAGGCGCTCATTTTCACGCCCCTAAGGGGGGCCGCCGAGGGGTATGACACCGTCCCGTTCGCGGCCGTTTTGTGGGGATGTCCTAAGTGGTTTGCCTGTTTTCTGACCCAACATCCCTCGCGTTCGGAACAGATTTGGAGGATGTCTCGGGCGAGGCGCTCATTGTCACGTCCCTAAGGGGAACCGCCGAGGGGTATGACACGGTCCCGTTCGCGGCCGTTTTGTGGGGATGTCTCAAGCGGTTTGCTTGTTTTCTGGCCCAACATCCTTCGCGTTCGG